TGTGTGTATGGGTATGCTCATACTCTATGGGCATTCGCATTAGGGGCATAATTATCCAATTGTTTATTGATAACCACTCGACTGCCTGTCGAATTTGATTGAATGCAGCACCCACAACAACAGCAATAACAGCAACAACAACAATGGTGCACAGGTGCCACAGCCAAATTGAATGGAAATCCGTTTTACTCAATTGTCTACACAAACCCCATAAATTTGTAATAATACTAATTGAAAAGTCTACAATAAGTTGTGACAATTGTCATAACAAATTGAAATTCAAATTCAAATTGCTTTTAGCCTTTTTCCACATCAAATAAAATCTCAAGAGATTTGCATTCCAATTGAATGGTCAAACGGTAAATGCATTGGAAGGGAGCTGGTGTAAATGTAAAAATGGCAAACATTTTGTTTTTGCACTCACCTCATACATATTTTACACTTGATGGCTGCTCACAATGGATAAAACACTCACAAACACTGCACTGATATTCATTTCATTGAAAACACTTAAAAAATATACACTAAACAATAAATAATCACACGAACAACTTTTCAAAACAGCGCGAGCGACCGATAAGCAAGCAACAGGTTGCGGATATTTCTGCGACTGGAGTTGCCAGAAAGTTGAACTATTTGCCAATTATTGCGATTAATTGGTATTTAATACAAATAGTATATGTATATACGATATGTAAATGATATCGATAGCAGCAATTGGTAATGAAGTCTTTAAATAGTAAATGAAGCTATTAAATGAAACTTCATTAATTATGAATTATTAATGAACAAATCATAACAAAAATAATACAAATCTAGATAATTGATGTGATATGCCTAATTACCTGTTTATAGCGTGCAGCTTGACATGTAATGCTCTGAAGTTAATTTGCCCGCCAGTCGGAGTTGAGCTGCTGTTAACTTAACAGACAATTAACACTTTGCCCTTAGTAACGGCACCTAATTTGAAGAGGCGCTTCATAAACGCCGCTATTGCCAATTAAAGGTGTCTAGGCTAAGACAGGGTACGTTAGGCCTAGGGGTTGCTTTGACAGCAAATAAACAACGAGCAGCAAACAACAACAGCAACATACATAATTGCTCGTCTAAAGCTAATTACCCTTAACATCGTTTTTGATGAGCTGCTAACAATTATGATTTCCTCATTCTACTCCTTCTTCTTCTTCTTCTTCTTGCAGGTTGTAATCGCACCTACTATGGAGACATTGGACAGACTTACTCCTTGGAGCTGCATCGGCCCAAACAGGATCGTGTGCCCTTTGTCTGTGTGCTCACGTTCACGGCAGCGGGCGGACAGCACGGCGATGTAGTACAGGTAAGCTGGCATCTACCTACCCACCCACCTGGCCTTTCACAATTCATTTGCCAGCTGGGATGAACTAAGCCATTAAAAAGATAAGCTAAGGCAACAGCACCCCTTGATATTGATTTCAAAGCCCAACAAATCCCAATCCCAAAAGGCGTGCAGCAAACGAAGCGTAACTCCAACTGACAGCGTAGTCGTATATACCCATCTCCTGTCCCCCACCTCCACCTGTTCCTGCTTTACGTGCTGCATGCGCTACTTCGCGTAGGGACTGCTCTTCACAGAGGAAGCTCACCCAGTTAGTTATTACGCCACTTCACACCTTTTCGTGTGGGCGGCTGGAGGCGATGGAGGCGTGCTGAGGTACTTGGCCAACGGCTTTGGCACGCTCGAATGCCTTCTGAGAGCATCCTGAAAGTCAGCAAGCCAGGGCAGCCAAGCAGCCAAACAGTTTACTGATATACTCACAGCTATACGAAGCTGGCCAAAACTTTATTAAGGCAGATGCCCTAGAGGGGCATCTAAGGGGTATGCTGCAGCTGAGATCTGTAGTTTGAGTTCAATTGAATATTTTCGAGTACAGCAAAGTAATCGAATCGTCTTATTGGGAGTACTTTTTAATTAATTTCCCTGCACTTCCTAACTTTGCCTCTGTTGCTCGACTCTAGGTTACCCTGGACAGCTTTACGATTGGCCGCTTCACCAGCTACGTGCACGAGGGCTGCCCGGATGGCTACATGCAGATAGCAGAGTCCGCGCGCACCCCAATCGGTGGCATGTGGTGCGGCAGTTCGTGGGGACCAGTTTTATTCTACAGCGAAACGCGCTCGCTAATATTCACCATCAAGCTGAACAGGTGAGTTAGTCAACCCCATCCGTTCTTAAGCAGTATTAATGAGTATTTGTTGTGTGTCTTGACTGCCCTCCTCTAGGTTGGCTCGGGATCAAAGCGGATACAACTTCGATTTTCGTATTAGGTACAAGGTGCTCTCAAAGGATAGCTCGGTGACGCGCTACGGCGGCATTAAGCTGGCAGGTAAGTCCTTG